TGCGGCTGTTGGTAGACTTTACTCGGGGAAAAAACCTAACGCCCAGGTTAATAAGATGGGCTTTAAAACTCCAAGAATATAATCTAATAATTAAATATAAACCGGGTAAAGGAAAACAATGTAGCTGACGCACTTTCTCGTATAAAACTGGACGATGAAGGGAAATGAACTTAAATGCGCTGTGTTGACTTCAAAAATTTTAGATTCTAGAGATACAATTATTGCTGAATTGAAAGCTGATCCTGAATTTGGAAGTATCTATGCTTATTTGAAAGACCCCGAAAGCTTTGAGCACACAGATATCGATGCGATAAGAAAAATAGAGCAAAAACTATGAAATAATAGATAATTTATTATTTTATACGAAAACAACAAACGAAAATCTTGAGTATAACCAGTCATCGCAGCCTCGCTTCGATTAAGCATTTTGAAGGAATTACACGACGCGAAAACAGCGGGTCATTTAGGGGTCAGAAAGACTTATAAAAAGGGTACGCGAGGCGGTATATTTCCCGCAATTATACAAAATAGTAACTGCGTATGTCAGGTCCTGCAATCAATGTCAGTTAATAAATGATATTAATTACAGCCCGGCCGGGTACTTAAATAGCATTCGCGCTACATTTCCGAATGAAATTTTAGGCATAGATCTTCTTGGTCCTTTTCCCCAGAGTGAGTTAAATAAAAATCGTTTTCTTTTAGTAATTGTAGATCATTTTTCAAAATGGACAGAAATTGTTCCACTTAAACGCGCGTCAGCCAAAACAGTCGCAGATGCATTCTTACACAGATACATTTTAAAATACGGTGCACCGATAAAAGTCATTAGCGATAACGGTAAACAATTCGTTAGTCAAATATTTGAAAACATTTGCATTGGACTTGGCAACTGGACTTGGCATACGCCATATCAAAATGGTTCCGTATAGACCACAGGCAAACATAGCAGAAAGAGTTAATAAAAATTAATAAAAATATTGTAAAAATAATTCGAAGTTATGTTAGCACACATCACAAGCGCTGGGATGGCTACATAAATGAGTTAGCTTATGCTTTAAGAACGGCAAATCATGATACTACGGGAAAAACTCCAGCAGAATTATTTTTAGGACGAAAGTTAATTACGCCATTAGATAAATTATTCTTTGTGCAACAAAGAGAGCAAGAATTTAAACAAAAGATGTGCAAAACTTATTGATCAGGCGGTTAAAAGCTCGGATACGGCAAGAAAAAGAAATAGACAGAAACTTTACTATGATAGAAAACGCCGTGAAGCAGATTTTAAAGTTGGGGATAAAGTGTTGAAGCGGAAATTTTCTTTATCAAGTGCCCCAGACAATTTTACTGCAAAATTAGCTCCAAAATTTGAAGGCCCCTATGTGTAATTCAGGAAATCAAAGGGAGTCGTATTGTACCTTAAGAACGAGAGAGGGGAAAATCTGTAAAGCAAGTCCCGACCAGGTGAAAAAAATATTATAATCAAAATGATTTTGAAATCCTTAAAAGTTTCTTGCAGGACTCAAGCGCAAAAGAAGTAGAAAAGGTCCAGAAGTAACCACCCGTTCCACCACCCAAGAAGCAGAGAACTGAAGAGGAACCTAGCCCTTCTACAAGTCATTCTACGGTACCGAAAAGAAGGAAATGAAAATTTCAGACTCCAGCATTAAGAAATGCAGAAAATCAACGCCGCCGCGTAAAGAATCTTGGTAGAAAAATAGGAAAAAGACCACTTACAAAATCCCACAGTAGAAAATCTGCATCGAGGAAACGCATTTCCAGGGCCAGATAGTCAGGTGCAAACAAGGCCGCCGTTCCACGAAAAGAAAAGACAGCAGGAGGAACGAAAAGACCCACCAACAGAAGAAATTCAAGCAAGACTCCAGACCGGAGGACGCCAAGACCAGCCGTCCAGGGGCAAAACGGAAAAGACAGCAACCCGACGACTACCACCCCAAGAGGCCAGCATGCAGAGGGCGAAAAAAGGAAAGTGACCATGGAGGAAACTGGAAGAAATCAAAGAAGGAGGTTGACGTCCATGAAACCTATAACTTGGGATCAATTCTGCCAGAAGAGGATGTCGGAGTTCCAATCATCGAAAACTCAAAGATAAGTTAAAATCTTCTATAATTTTTCTTCTTTTGTTCCGAAATGTTATGCGTAAATACGAAGTTCTATGTGTTTGACGGAAGTCAATTTGTCTCGGTTGAGACTTAGTTTTGTTTTACTTTATTTAGCTAAGGCAAAAGTATTATTTTCTTTAAGTATAAAATCTAAGAACAAGCAGTTTCTGTTGGTCGAAAGACTAATTCTGTTATGTTAAAGCCAAAATTTGGCCGAAGATAAAAATAACTTCGTATTCTTGTATTAATAAGAATTTAGTTTCAGTGCCGCCAGCTTGGCGAAGAAAGAGTAAAGTAAAAATTTATTTTCTCTTATTCATTTATATGGTAAATTGTAAAAATCATATGTATTAGAATTTTGTAAATATACGTAAATACTTGAAAGTTATGTAAAAGTAGAATTTAGTCTAGAAGCATAAAATTTTAGATGCTAAAAGTAAATGCTCAAAAGAAATGAATTAAAATTTAAGTATTAAACTGTAGATAAAATCATGCTTTAGAGCGAAAGCCTGCATGTCTAAAGATGAATGAGGGGGGAAGTTAGAATGAATGTGTTTTGTAGGGTTCTCCACCTACACTTGAATTTTAAGAATGTTAAACATAGCTCATCGAGTTTCAGTATGTTCGAGTAAGGTGTGTCTATTTGGTCGTTGAATTCTAACAAATCATTGTGGTTAGGGGAAGTGTTGTAATACAAAAACACGAATATTCCCGTTTGACACCACACATGGTGGAGAGCCAGGGTAAAGTTAAATTCATGTTTGAATACTTGAATGAATGTGAATTTAAGCAGTTAAATAAAAAAAAAAAAAAAAAAAAAAAAAGAAAATGATCGAAAACTAAAATTACCAGTGTCAAGAAAGTGTAAATTCATAATGTATTTAGAAAGATACTGATACTTATTCCTTCCAGATGCTGGAAGGAAGAGAAAAAGATTGATTGACTGAAGAACAACAGCAAAGGTATCCTGTAAGAAGATATTGTATTGTAATCGTCTACAGAAATTTATTGTAAAATTTGTTAGGAAAAGTTTTTTTATGTAAACGGGGCTCTTGAATTTAGTTCAGAATGTGGAAACTTTTCAACAGGTCGTTTCTAGGACCTGCTTCCAAGTTTCCCAAATTCTGGCAGCGGCAAATGTAGGGTTTATATTTATTTTAACTAACATTTATTTTAAGTTTATCTTTCCTGTCAAGCCTTACTTTCCCCTGGAATTGCCAATGCCAGAGTATGTAAATTTAGTAGAACGCGCAGATATTCAAATTTAGCAGAAGTAAGTTGAGTTTAAATAGAAGGGAAACGAGATTGTAGGTGTGCTTCTTGAATCGCGAACGTGGATGTCGCTCGGTAGAATTTAAGAACCGCGTGTGTCGGCCTGTGTGCCTGTCTCGGCAGATTTTGCTGGATCTTTTAACTGCTTAATCAGTAAGCTCGCAGAATCTCAGCGGTAATGTTAGAACGCGGTTAGGTTAGTTTAAGATCTCAGAGCCTCGTGGATAGTGATCTCGCTATTTATTCTTCCAGTCATTATTTCTCAGTTCTACGTTCCGTTTCAGTTAAACCGCCGGGTTAGCACAGTTTGTGATCGTCATGTTATTTTAAATCTGTTATTTTAAAAGTTGAATAAAAAGGGCTTGAAACCCTTCTTACGTTTCTGTGTAAATTCACACTTAGTAGCAGTCACTACAACAGTTTGCTGACAAGTTGGGGATTCTTCGATATCACAAGCTCAGTAGCAATAGTTCGTACTTTCCTTTAGCATGGCATCCATACCAGACAGATTCACTTGAAACGTTCCCCACGAAGGTATTCCTCTCTTTAAGCATATAGTCCTCGTATGTTTTCATAAAGTAAACAAATTTTTGCTTATTTCACTCAGTTTGTTAATCAGTAACATATTGTTCAGTAACATATTTTAATTTGAGAGCCACAGTGACCATGCTGATAAAACTAAACACAAGCAGTTCGACATGGCTTCAAATTCTGACGAAAGGGGTGACTGCAAAGGAGTTATGTCTATATGTTTTTTATACTATTACATGAATACGAAGTGGGTTACTTTATAAAGTCCGCCAAAAGACATTCCTTCCCTTAGGCAAACAGTACGAGTATGCTTTGTCATAATCAAATAATCCAATGAAATCTTGATTCAGTTTGAATGATACGCACCGACGAAAAGAAAAACTGAAAATCCGCTATGAGCCAGAACACTTCGAAGATGTTTTAAATAATTCGTCATTCTAGCAGCACTTACTAAGGCTACTTCTAGATTTTTTTCTCTGTTTCCATCTGTCAGTTTTCGATTGTGTCTACAAATTTTGTTTTATTAGGATTTAATTTTAAATGTTAAGAAAAATGAGACAATTTTTGAAGCGTTAAAAAAATATTATGTTTTCGCCACGTTTTTTACTTTTTCCTTCACTATTACAAAATTAACAAATTTAAAAATTTAACTGTGAAAAAAATTCTGGATAGCTGAGAAATATATAAAAATTTTAAATTTTCATCAGAAAGAATTTAGAAGAATCTACGGAAATAAAAGTAAAAATATCGTTTAAGTGAAGTTTTAATGTTACGACCGAAATTAAATCTAGTGGGAAAAATACATTTATTTCTAAATAAAAATTTATATTTTTTGTTTTCTATAGCTGATAATTTGCCGATATTTTGAAATCTCAAAATGATATCAGTAAATACATTTCATTATCGTATTATCTCGTTTCTAGAAAACGTAGAAAACTGCCTCAAACGTCGGTAAAAGTTGAAGGAGATAGTTGTCTCTCATATTTTCTGAGAACTAATTCAGAAAATATCTGCGACGCTGTCCGGCGCATGGAGGGAGGTTCAAACAAACTTAGACCACGCCTTCCCCAAAACTTGTCTAGTATATGAGGTATAGATTGGGAGCCGAAACGCATTTTCTTTTTTGATCTGGGACCAGAAAGGCAACAAGTTTCTCTACGGAAGAGCAGAAAATACTTATTTCTACATCTCAGGGGTAAGTTCTCAATATCTTACTCATGTACAAAATTGTTGAGAAACTGTTAAATAAATAGCAACTTCTTCTGTTGGTTGCCAAATTTTTTCCTAATCATATTGTTTCTGATAAATGATACAATTCCTTGAAAATAAGCATGATTTTTCTTTCAATACTGTTTTAGGGTGCTTTCATGTGATTCACTTTTTAATGCAGAATTTTATTTTTCGCTTCAAGACAACCTCTTTTGAAGTCGTTTATATAGTTCTTCGTGTATTTCATTTCAGTTGTTTTAGTTTTAAATTTAACAAATGCTATCATTTCTCTTCAGTGTGATTCATTGAAAATTTCATCTGAATAATAAATATTTAATTACTTAAATTATTAAAAACTCATTGCTTAAAGAAAAGAGACAAGGAAATAATTTACAGCATTTTAGTAATGAAATCACAGTATTGTCAATTATCACTGTCATTTGTTTGTTTTAGAAAGATTTAAAAAATAAGTAGATATATGTGAAATAACCAGATCTAACATAAGTAAAATGTTATAAGTTAGCTTTTGAAAGAAAAAGTTATTATTAATCTCGGAATATTAACTACAGTAAATATTAAGCTATTCATGTTGTTACTATTATTATTATTATTATTTATTACTTTAGTATGAAACTTATTTTGACTTCAAAATTTATCTTTTGTGTAATTGAACAGGCTTCAGATCATTTCAGGATAAACGTAGAGAATAGTTTCAAAACGTTTTGTTTTATACTTATCAAATTAAGATATTTTATTACGTCAAAGATTTTTTTAAATAACCATAAATATTTTAACGAATTTATTCATAATAATTTGGAATTATTTTTAGTAATACTGTATACTAATTTGATGATTAGTTTAATTTCTAGTTGAGTCAGGCATTAAATCTTATTTATTTTACGCATATTTTTTATACTGCGTGTAGCATAAGTAGCAAGCAACAATTTCCGAAAAATGTATATTACTTATATAATAATTTTTCTGCATACAAATGCTATTAATATATGGATATGCCAAATATTTTATTAAAGTAAAATTTTAAAGAATTTCGTTAAGTATTAATATGACTCATGACGTTCTAATATATGGTGCTTTATTTTTGTATAATAAAACGGTCACATAAACATTATACTTTTTGGAATAAAATGATTGATTTCTTTTCCTTTCAATAAAACGAACTAAATTTAATCTCTCAAAAAAATAATGTTCTAATGAATAATGTCTTTCAAGTATTCATACAGCATATAAGAAATGGATTATTTATTAATTTTTAACGATAATTTATTTACCGTGAAAATGTCCTTTGTTTCCATAATAACGGTATTCTATGCGTGGGTTCCGTATACTATTCACTAATTGGCTCGGATTTTATTTTGCGGAAGCGCTTTCAGCAATCCAACAGCTCCGCTAAATGTGAGACAATTCCGCAAACAGTGGTCAGCCCTCTATTTGAATAAATGTTGCGAAAGTGATAGTAAATGATAGTATAGGCTATCGCGAGTTGTTGAAGATTTGAATCTCCTCCACCAAATTTAAACTATAAAACGATGTCCATGTACTGGCATACCTCGAGCTACTTCAAATTCACATAATTGTTTTGATGTTCCATTGCTTGAGTAAGCTATATTTAGATTAAGCAAGTTGTATCCTATTAAGCAATAAGGCTTTCTTATGTTCTTATCCCCCCAGTTCCATGCACCTTTCAGTCGCAACTGTAAATATCGTTCAATATTTTTTTCCTTCTTCAATCTTGTTTTTCAACTTGGTTTATTGCTTGATGCAAGAAATCTAATTGATAACCTATGTCTGCATTTAACATACCTTTCCTCAAAGTAAAATCACGTCTTTTCAAACGACACTATTTTACGTAATGGTCTTTGACAATGGCATTTGATCATTGTACATTTGACATAGGATTGATCCGATGATTCCGATCAATCCTATGTCAAATTTTAAACTCATTTTTTCTAGAATGCATATTAGAAAATTGATATCATACTTTATTGCCGTTCGAGACTCTATAAAGCTTGCGGTGGCTTTGCCAGATATAACAATAAAAATTTGGGAACATTTTATTCTGTACTTCTGCATTTAAAATGCAATAGCAGAAAATATTTACTATCCAAATGTTTTATTAATTCACACTTTTTTGGCTATCTTACATTTATTGACATTGGTAAAATGCAGTTATATTTAAGTATGATGGCATTTAACTCTCAGTCACCGAATACTTTCAATTCTGGAAATTGTACTTCTATACCTAATAAATTACGTTTTGTTAAACGTAAAATATAAATACATCTCTAATTTCAATTGCTGTTTTAGAAAATTACTATGTTTTCTAATTTCACATCCGATTCTTATCAGTTAAGTTTAATAACGTTTAAATCTGGCGTTTATGAGGTTTTGAGTACTTCAGAAAAATTAAATAGAAAAAGTGTCATAACAGTTTGCTCTTCTCAGGACTTTGGCTTGTAACTGTTTTCAGAGGTTAAGTTTCTGGGCTTGATTTAAAATTCCCTCCTAAGACTTCAGCATTTTTGTACTGATTGCATTTCAACGACTCCTTTAACACAGTATGATGCGATGTGTTCCAATATAAGAATCATGACAAATTTCGAATGCTTACTCCATCATATATCAGCTACCATATGCAGTGATACTACTTCATGTTTTATCACGTTTTCAAATATCTTCGTGTTCAGTATCCTCTTGATATTATTGCTTGACATTTGTACATACGGACATATATACGGATAATGTTTGTACATACTCATTTTCCAAAAAAGATTCTAAAATGGATTCAAAAGGCACTTTTTTCGTTACCTGCGTGTACGTACACAAATATGTATTTATCTCACATAACTCAAAAATGATTAGCCGTATAACGTTAAAATTTTGTGCATGGGACTGTTGTGACATCTAGTTGCGCATCTTCTTCTCTTATTGCAATCGACAGCATCAAGCGTATGTGTATGTGTGTGTGTGTGTATACTCACTTCCTTAATCGGCTTAAAAGTCCTAACACGCCCTTTATTTTCGCAATCGTTGGTCGTTGTCATATACTGCAGAACAATTGCAGAAGTGTTTTAAAAGACAAAAATATTCATGTTTTAGCAATCTCAAATTAAAATAATAATAATAAAATTTAGGCAAATAACAAAATATAACTTTTAATGCTCTCTCTCTTTTCCTATACTTGACATTATACTAAAAGTTTTATATTCGTTATGAAAAAATAAAATTATAAGAAGCTTGACTCCTGTACGAAAAAAAATTGAACGCGACATTTAATTTCAAAATCTGAAATTTTTCTCTCATTTTTGACTTTTTTAGAGTATCCGTTAAGGAAGTTAGAATATTTCGAGGAAATACAGCAATTTTAAATGAAATACAGCAAAAAATGTGTATAATTTAATAAACCGTTCAAGAATGTCATGCGGTGTCCTCATGAGATTTTTCTAGCAACCAATCAAAATTCCTGTTTACTTACATATTTATGTAACGTCTGGAGGTTTAACCCAAACACTCACGACATCCCATCTTGGCTACAATATAATTTATTGCGTAAAGCTTCTGTAGGAAATTGCATGAAATACTCACTCAAGAAAGGAAATCCGAGCTAATATAAAATCACACCTCCCTTCTCCTGGCAGAAGATGTTAAGATCTTCAAACTGGCAACGAAAGACTCCTGATGCTAAGGAAAAATAAATAAATAATTAGATGAAAGCATTTAAAATAAGTTAGCCACAAATTAGTTGTTTATTTATTTTTACCTATTTTGGTACAAAAACAAACATTGTTTTGATTGATAAAGCCCTAGAAAATCGGGACTATTAATAGAATCTTATGCAAGTAACCATGAGAAACTTGTATTATTCTTCAAAAATAAGGTTACTTCTTATATGATCTGTTTAAGGAACGTATCACAAATAATTTCTCAAAAAATATAAGATAAGAACTTAATTTTATTTTTCTAATGAAATTAAATTAAATACTGAAGAACCGAAAGAGTGGTTTGCAAGAAAAGAATTCCATAGTTATCAAGAGATATATTACTAATGAATGTATTTTAGCAACGTAAATAAAGTATCTTAAAATCGCAAAATATGCCTTCTTATAAAAATAAAAGTAAACAGACTATTCTAAATTTTTCTTATCAAATAAAATTTAACATCTAAATTTAAGTAGCAATAATGTTGTTGTATAATATGTTACTATGATAAAATTTAATTTTGTTTTGGAATCTCGTTTATCATCTGCACAAAGTTTGCAATTTAATTTAACAACTAAACTATTAAAAAATTACAAATTTTTTAACATTTAATGCGCAGGAGTCTTTTATCTGAATCATTAAAAAGTATATTTAACGTATACATTACAGTGCAACAGTTTAAAGGAATATTAGAAATTTCATGCCGAAATCTCTAAAAAATTTAATAATATTAAAATCTTATGACAAAGAAATCAATTACATGTGCAGCTGACAATATTTAATGCATTTAAAAAGTAAGACCACCGAATTCGCCTAATAAAACTATTTTGTAAAGTAAATTATATTCCTGTTTAATTATTTTTGCATAAATTGCTCTCTTAAAAGTAACTGCCGATTAGAAAGATTTAATTTGAAACTAATCTTAATTTCACTGAATAGTAGGAATTTTATTACTTTGCGCTTTCCTCAGAAACAAATCTCAAATTAAGTTATGCCATTATATTTTTGAAATAATTTTAATATTAATGTGTTATACTAACTATAAGTACTAACGATAAATATATAACTATAAGTAATGCCTACAAAAATTATTCCGATTTTTTTAACTTGTTTTCCAAAAGCTGCCACAATGCATTTGTAATTGTTAAGGTTTCTAAACTTAAATTCTAAGGCATTAAGTTTTCACAATTATCCAGCTAATTTGTATTTTATTCAAAAATTAATTCCTGCAAATTTTTTTTTTCGTTATAGAAACCAAAAGAAACAATCTTGTCAAGTATACATCATATACTTTGAAAAGCAACACTAATTTTTCATCATCTCTCACTCATCATTGACAAACTATTTATTTGGAAGAGTTGTTAAAGCAGCATAAATTCTCAAAATGCCACCCACTTTGTTGAAAATCTTCTTACTGTATATATGTGGGATGACAATGGCTGTATTGTCGACAACAGTGAACGAAAATACTATCAACAGTCTTCCAGAAGTCATGCGACTATCGCCTTCACCACTAATTCATATCATAAACTCTTCTTCCGCAACAGCCTTGCAGGAAGAAGCCATTGCCAATTTTTCAAATTCTGTGTCCAATACAAGCCTTTCTGATATCGAAAGAGACAACCTAACGCAGTCTTTGCAACAGCGCTACAGAGAGAGGTAAGAAAGCTTTATGTATTTATTCAATTATTAAATTTTCTTCCTCAACGTACCAATTTTCTATAAATTTAAGCAAGACGAATATAAAGTTAAACCTGCAATGATAGAGCTATTGTAAAACCGTTTTGCTAGCATATTTTAAAATTCTGAGGTGAATGCTTGTTGTTTAATATAGTTCATTTTTAATGAGCTCTATTAAGCAACAAGCTTTGAATAAATGAGTTCTTTTTTAATTAAGTGAGTTATTTTATAAATTATTATGTGTCTTTTTAGCGTCCAGTACTTAAAAGAAAAATTTTTAAATGGCTGAGCAACACCTAACGAAACTTCATTTAGCATTTTAATGAGAAAACATTTTAGACTGTTTAGTTTCTTAAATTTATATGTTTTAGTTTCTTAAATTTATATGTTTTAGTTTCTTAAATTTATATGTTTTAGTTTCTTAAATTTATATGTTTTATGAAATTATTTCAGGTTTGCGATGTATTAGTACCTAGAATGCATTTAATAATTTAGCACGTTATATTCCAAAAACTAATTGTTCTTATGCAGGATAACAGATAAAATTTGAACTTTGTGAACTTAACAGAATTCAGTTGGGCATAATTATGTTCATAGATCATTACATTCAGACTTTTACAGAAAATCAAATAATAATAATAATAATAATAATAATAATAATTTTCTGTCACCATATAATTTTGTTTATCTTTAATAATATTTTTTGTAATAAACACACAAACACTATCTATATTATATTTTTCTCTTCACGAATGTTTTAATGTAATATCCCAAATGTTTAAATGTTTTAAGCCGATGTTGTTTAATGAGAATAACTTATAAAATTTCTTTCGGATGTTTTTCTTGGATGACTCAAAATTTAGTTATAGGACATTCCAATCTTAGAATCTTATGAATCCTTAAAAAAATTTATATTCAAACTTTGCTATTTAGTGTTTATCTCTGTAAACATTTGAAGGAATCTCCTCTTTTCTAGACTTGATTTGATTTTAAAATGTTGTGGAAAAATGTAAAAAACCTAAATTATTATTCAAATACTTTTTTTTTTTTTGAAATTATACTAAAAATTTGAAATGTTTCTGAATTTAACGGTCGCCCAAAAGGATTCTTAAGGTTTTTTTTGCGCTCTGCTGAGCTCGCAGTCTACCAGTTTGCTTTTACACTCACTCTTACTAAGGAATTTTTTTGGACCTTTCTAGTTTTATGATTAAGGATCGTTTTCTTCACACTTATGCCATATACCATTTAACAGGAAAATTACAAAAATTTTAAAAGCAGCATAGCAGTATACGTTTAGAATTTCGGATGCAGCGTAAAGTGTTGCATTTTCCTGTTTTATTCAGCTTTATCTCAGATATTTATGTTTAGTTTTCTTATTAAGATGACTTTGCAAAACACTTTTTTCGTCTTTTTATTATTAACGGTTCTTTTAACTTTATTTAAATATCACGCTCTTGACGCTTACGCCACGTAAAATTCTATTCAACAGCAAAATTACAAGATACTTAAAAACGGTCTATCTTTAAAATTTCCGATAGACAGACTCACGTGCTGGAGATAATTTTTTTTCATAGTACAGTATTGTACTATGAAACTTCGTAGTAGTTTCATGTAGGTAACATTTGTACTTCTGTATCAGCCAAAAAAGCAAACCTTTTGATTAACTTTCTCGACGCAGATTTGTTCAACTATTTTAAAGTTCTTCCTTAATATGTTTATTAAGTAATTTAATATTCTCGGTCTTCCCTTTCATTTTCGACTGGCGTGAGCAAGTGGAGTTAAACTTGAACAAGAGAAGCAATTCTGAGTTTTCCGAGCAAGCGGCCAACAAAAAGTGCAGCGCAAGGAAAAAAGACTACTACAAGATCGAGCTGAGCCAGACACAACAAGAATGGTTGTAAAAATAAAACTACAGGAGGGTGGGGACGTCCTCATTGCACTCGTGAACGTCTGGCGTGCTGAAGAGCACGTGCTGGGAAAACAAGCTTCGACGCTATTACGAATCCTAAATTGGCGCTTCTGCCAGGGTTTGTAACTCACTCTTGTACTATGCTTTTCCTTTTCCACCTGAGTCTATGATTCAACTATTTTGTAAAAAACTGCAAAAAATCTTCAATTTATTAATTTTGTTATTTTTACTTTGTTGAAATAACAGCTGTCAGGTAGACAAAAGTATTGACATTACAAATGTCCTTAGCAGGGTGTCTCGAAAATGTTTGGACCATTTTACGTTAACGTTACACTGCTTTCCATTTATCATCTATTCCAGGGGTTCTCAGCCGTTGGTACGCGTACCACTGGTGGTACGCAAGAGAAAAATAGGTGGTACGCAAAGAAGCAATGTATTTTTAACTATTAAATTCAAACATTAAAACCCCAATATCCTGATTGAGCTTTTTTCCCTATCACTCGTAAATTTATACGATCTGAGCTTTGTTCAAGAATGGTGGTGGTAGTAGTACTTTGTAGTGATGGTACTAAAGGTTTTCGAAATTTTTTTTAGGTGGTACGCGTTAGTCAAAAGGTTGAGAACTGCTGATCTATTCACATTGGCAAGTGTTACCACCACTGGGAGAAACTTAATATCTTCCATGCCGCCTTCCGCGTTATTAGTTCTCGGAGTTCAACAAAATAATAAAATATTTAATTTATTTTTTGATCAGTTTACATAGATTTTAATAAATCACTTAAAATACTTTTAAATAATTTTAATTTCTATTTTATTTATAATAACAATTAAACTTAATAATATATAATAACTTTATATACTAAATTAAAACATATTTATAATTTATATAACATAATTCGTATTAACATTTGTTACATTATTATAGTCAATTCTTGCGATTTTTTTTCCCAAAAATTTCAAACTTTGATAGCAAAAAAGAAAATAAACATTTTTAAGAACAAGAAAATATGTAGACATTGAATAATATAGTTTTATCACTCGTTTAAAGGAGTTATCCGAATCCGAATTAATGCTTCAGTCTCATTAATAATATGGAACATAGGTAAGCAAAGCGATATTAATATGAAAATGTAATAACTTGCGTTAAAGCTAATGACAGAAATGAGTCTTATGTTACTCTAATGAGATGTGTATGAAGTTAAGGTGTCATATTTCATGTGACATAAAATGGTAAGGATTTCTTTACAATCTGTAATGCAATTTTCTTTCTCAATATTAAAATAAAAAACAGTATGTCGATATTGGGAAACAATATGTCGAATATAAAAACAATATATCGATATTTGGAAACAATATATCGATATTGTGAGAGATTATGTATTTTGCCGCGCGTGCGTCTGCGATTAACTAAATGTTTAGCATTTCCACCTATCATTGGGAAATCCATCGTCGCTGTTTTAAATATCATTTTAAATGCTAAATATGCAAACGGCTTTAAACATTATATATCCTAAGTAGTCATACGTAATATCAATTCCCCCCCTCCGATTGAAAAGAAAATTTAAAGAAATCTTTCGAGTCTAAGAAAATGATTTAGGGCAGCGGACGAACGACGAAAGTGCTGAAGTATGGTATATCGACTCGGACTTCAAATCTGGGTGAACAGAATGGCGGTTAATTTAAATTTTTTCCTATATGTAAGAGAATGCGAGCGAATTTCTTTTAAGAAGGCGCCTATGGGATCATTCCACCGCAACAAATAACCCTTGGGTGCTTCGCCGTAATCTAATTTATAATCCATTCTCTAAGTTTGTCATTTCACTTAGTAATTATATGAATTTCTTATGCATATAGTTATAAACGATGATTAATAATAGCAGGCGTTTAGCTGTGCAAGTCTTACTGCGTGATTCAGGCACAGTTAAAACGCTGCCCTACTTTGAAAAAAGAATTGGAAAGGTTAGGTTAGTTGATTTAAGGTAAAGCAACTCGAGGGCTATCTGCCTCTAGGAAGGGATGATTTCGTGGAGGATTTTATAAGGGAAACTGGCTCATATCCATGTCACACATGGAGAAAACCACGAAAACCAACAATAAGCCAGCCGATTCCCGGGGATTCGATCCCTGGTCGAACTACGAGTGTTCATCGACTTTACCATTCAGCCGCTGGTGGGTCATATTTGACTAGAAGATTATGTTTTAGGATATGTAACTAAATAATTTTAGCACCAGTTTAGATAACATCAGATATAGCTAAAAGACTTACCTCCTAAAAATCATAAAGTTGTTGAATATTACACGCATCCCGCTTACTAGCCTATCAGATAATAAAAATGGATGGTGTTAACAGTCCGAACCAGTTACTTTTAATTTCAGCTCACGAGATTCTTTAAATCGCTCTAAATATAATAATAAATCATTCAATATTGACTAATTATTAATTTTTACGCTTTTGAAACGGAAGTAAATGATATTGTGTAATTTAAAATTAGGCATAAAAGTGACTTCAGATGGGTGTAGATTTTCAGTAAAATCCTTTCACTTTCAACTAAGAACTCCTTCTTTTTTGGAAATGGAAACCTTCCCAAAAATGAGAGAAGCAAATAACCAAATATATTCAAAATTTAGTGGATGGAACAGAGAATAAATGAACGTATCGCCATTTGAAAATATATCTAATGTTGCTACTTTTAAAATTTAAGCTTGCCAATCTAAAGTCGCTTCTTGCCTAATTTTAAATTCTGTATTGGCGTCTTTGGCCTTATATAAGATTATTAATTAAATTAATTAGGAACACTTTCGAAGTTAAAGATTTATCACTTTTTGTTTGATAGGTATTTGTCCTAGATTTTGTTTGCTAAATTGTTAACTAAATTAATTAGAAACACTTTCAAAGTTAATGATTTATCACTTTTTGTTTGATAGGTATTTATGCTAGTTGGTGTTTGCTAGCATACAAGTTAATTATTAACTTCTGGTTGTTCGGTATGAAGCTACAAAGAATAAACCATTATTTAAATGTAATAATATTCACAGTTGTGTCACTTAATTAGTTTTCTAGTAAATCAGT